ATTTAATCAGAGGAAACTAACCGAACTCATTGGTTCTCTCTTTAAATTGGGAAAGAGTGGAGCAACAGAGGAAAACAACCCTGTGGTCAAAAATGGCATGAACTTCTTACGCTCCAAACAAGAGGAAATAAACTCAAATCGGCAGCAAAATACGATTCAACCTACTGCTGAACAAATTAAAAGGCTCCGGTGTCAAAAAGAGGCGTTTTCTCGGCTTTCAGCTAATAAGCCAATATCAGACAGGCTATTTCTTGGTATGCTGAAAAGTGAAGACGTCGAGCAGGTTACACAGCTAAATGAACTGATCGAGCAGACTAAGATAAAGATCTCACCTTCGTTTAATTTGGACACCGAAGAAGAAGCGGCTGTTGCAGTCTCCATGTTTCCAACTCCTCAGAAAGTTGAACAAATGAGAGAGGCTGCCGAGAAACGAGAGATAGAACTAAATAATAGAATCAAAAAACGTATTCAAGAGCTAGAACAGTTACCTGGTAATCTGTCAAATGAACCGGTTAATGTTGGTGGTCGACCTAACCGTAATGCAGCGGGACCGAGGGTTAAAGCGTTGATCGAACGAAAGGGTTATAAATTAAGAGCATGTCAGCAGAAATTACGTAATGAAGTCATGCAATATTCGATATACCGACGACCAGCGCGCATCATTTCCTTAAAACAATATGAACGTCCGGCACCTAAGATATTAAAAAATGCGGCATATTATGAAAACCTTGAGAGGGAAAAACGAGAGACATATAGACGTCGTATCAAAGAAGAACGTTCGGCATATTTCAATGCTATCTTCCATCAAACAAACTATATGAATGAAATCTCTCACAGAAAGCAAGCCATGCGTGAGAAATTGGGACGATCGGTGATCATCTACCACGCGCAGCTTCAGAAACAGGTACAGAAACAGTTGGAACGATCTTCTAGGGAACGTATCAACGCGTTGAAGAATAATGACGAAGAAGCATATATGAAACTGATAGATGAACACAAGGACAAACGCATCACTCATCTATTACGTCAAACCGATATGTTCCTTAGTTCATTGACAAAAGCTGTCGTGGATCATCAGAAAGATCATATCAACGAAGAAATTTCGATTGGTTCCGATATCTCGGTCGTTGAAAATGATAATATAATCGAAACATTGGACGGCAAGAAGGTCGACTATCACGCAATTGCCCATAGGATAGAGGAAGCGGTTGAACAACCAAACATTTTAATTGGAGGTGAATTGAAGGACTATCAACTTAAAGGTCTCCAATGGATGGTATCGTTATATAACAATCATTTGAACGGTATCTTAGCTGATGAGATGGGTTTGGGGAAGACAATTCAGACGATATCCCTTATCACTTATCTGATAGAGAAGAAACAACAGAACGGACCTTACCTGATCGTCGTGCCATTGTCGACTATGACCAATTGGCAATTGGAATTCGAAAAATGGGCGCCCTCGGTCAAGATATGCACATATAAGGGAACTCCCGCCAATCGTAAAATAATTCAGCGGCAGTATCTGAAGAACTTGAATTGTCAAGTCTTCCTCACCACCTATGAGTATGTCATCAAAGACAAAGCGGTCTTGAATAAACCACGATGGCTATACTGCATTATCGACGAGGGTCATCGAATGAAGAACACAAATTCAAAACTTTCCGTGGTGCTGAGTAATGAATATACCCTTAGATATAGACTCATTCTTACGGGTACCCCTCTGCAGAATAATTTGCCCGAGTTATGGTCGTTGTTAAATTTCATCTTGCCAAAGATTTTCAATTCGGTTAATAGTTTTGAGGAGTGGTTTAACACTCCATTTGCGAATACCGGGGGACAGGATAAAATTGCATTGAACGAAGAGGAAAGTCTCTTGATCATTCGACGTTTGCACAAGGTGCTTCGACCTTTCCTCCTTCGTCGTTTGAAGAAAGATGTCGAATCTCAGCTACCCGATAAGGTGGAACGAATCATCAAGGTTAAGTTATCTGCGCTTCAGCAAAAATTGTATAACCAGATGAAAACACATGGTGCAATCTTTGTCGGCACCGGTGAGAGGGGTAAAACGGGTGTTAGAAGTCATAGGAATACTGTGATGCAATTACGTAAGATCTGCAACCATCCGTTCGTATTCTCAGAGGTCGAAAAAGATATCAATCCGAACAACGAGAATAATCACTTATTGGTGAGAGTCTCTGGAAAATTTGATTTCCTGGATCGAGTTCTTCCAAAGTATTTTAAGGCAAATCATCGGGTCCTATTATTTTGTCAGATGACCAACATATTGACTATTATGGAGGATTTTCTCAATTTTCGAGGATATAAATATCTACGATTGGACGGTAGCGTTAAATCAGAAGAACGAACGATTTTGCTAAAGAAATTTAACAGCCCCGATTCTCCATATTTCATATTTTTACTGAGCACTCGTGCTGGTGGTTTAGGCTTAAATTTGCAATCAGCCGACACCGTCATACTTTACGATTCCGACTGGAATCCACATCAGGATCTCCAAGCGCAGGATCGTGCTCATCGTGTTGGCCAGACCAAGAAGGTTCAAGTTTTGCGCCTTGTCACCCAAAATTCGGTCGAGGAAAAAGTGCTCGCCAAAGCTCAGTTTAAACTTGACATGGACGGTAAAGTTATACAGGCCGGAAAATTCGATCACACGAGTACCGACAAGGCACGTGACGAGTTTCTGCGCTCTCTACTTGAAGGTGACAACATCGATGGTAATAGTGCGGATGAAAGAGAGGACCTTGATGACGATGAAATCAACGAAATCATCTCACGAGATGAAACGGAACTGGAATTATTCAGGCAAATGGACATTACCAGAATTCGTGAAGAGACGGCCGAGTGGAAGGCAAAGGGGTTATCTATGCCTGAAAGATTGATACAGGAATACGAATTACCCGAGGTATACCTCCGGGAATACAAAACCATCCCTGATGACGGTGTGGAGTACGGTCGAGGGCAACGACAGCGTAAGGAGGTTATCTACGATGATGGGCTAACTGAAGATCAATTCCTAAATGCTGTCGAGAATAACGTTGATATTGAAAACCTCATCGCAAAGAAACAACTATCGACTCGTCGTCGACAGGTAAAAAAGCAACTCAAACAAGATACAGGGAACGTTGAAGAATCCTCTCCGGTAAGAGCTCCCCGACGTCCGAATAAGCGAAAGGCCGGAGACGACGATGAAACCATTGACGCTGACGATGATCTTTTGGACGAGGCATCGACCAGCACGCGTCCAAGGAGAAAGCGCCGAAGCGTCAATTACACCATACCAATAGACATTCCCGATGAGGCTGAGTCTGAAAACGTTCCCTTGATACGTAGAAATAAGAAGAATCATGATCCTGTCGAATTTATGGACGAATCTGTTACTCGGACAAAAATCAAATTGGAAAAGGGAGAAAAGACGGAGAGAAGGCGCAAAGATTTTGACGACGATATTTCGATTGATGCTATAGAGGTCGAGTCGGAACCGGATGATGCTCAAAGTATCAAGAGCAAACGTAAAGGAAAAGGTCGTGACAATGCCGAGACTACGGACGAACCCATTACCAAGATTACGGTTAAAAGTAATGAAAAAGTGAAATCCGAAGGGGAGAATGTCGAACAAGGAGAATTATTTAAACACAAAACCAAAAACAAGAAAAAAAAAGGATCCACCATTATTACTCTTTCACTTGAAAAAGGAGCAAAGGTTCGTAAAGTTGAGACGATTTCTGGCGATGAGTTGAAGCAAAAACGTCGTAAAACCAAAAAGATTCTCGGCGAAGACAATTCCGCGATTAATGATCTTTTCACGGAATGTCTTGCCGAGATTGAAAAGGTGCGCGTCAAATCACGTAAAGGCTATCGCCATCGTGCCGCACTATTCTATGAACTTCCGAGCCAAGATGAATATCCCTACTATTATGATCAAATCAAGAATCCGATCTCTATCAACATAATTCGTCAGAAAATACTAGATAACGAATATGATAATGCTGAGGAGTTTAAGCAGGACGTTGAATTGATGTTCTCGAATGCAAAATTTTTCAATTTGGAAGGCTCCGAGGTTTACAACGACGCCATCGTCATGCAGAAAGTTTTTATTGTCAAATTTGAATCGTCCTTTGGCAAAGTCCAAGAGGCCGTAACCGTCGATAAAAGCTGAGCACGCACTTGAATAAATGTACATTTTGGATGAATTCAAATCGCTCGCAAACAGAAAACCTCTTTTTGGTCATCGAACTTACGACAGATCAAATTATGTAAATTTACAAAATTTATGCATTCTCACACTTTATTCATTATTGTTTTATACAGGGTTAATTGGATAGGCTAAGAGTCAATAGAATTTTAAAAGTACTAATAATAAAATTTATGATGCGCGAATGTATGCGTAGTAAACTTATAAAAACGCGTTTTCTGACCAATGACCTTAGAGAAAACGGATCAACAACCGATCTGAATTCTAATTTATAATGGAGTGACATTGACACTGTCCTTACAAACCTCATTTGTTTTTCATACAGATAAAATAGTCAATTGCAAATGGGTCAAGCGAAATTTCTCTGGAGGAAAGGCAAAAAAAAAAAAGCATATTAAAATGTGATGCGCCACTACGTTTATTTGTGAAACTAGCAGTTGATGTTAAAAGGTTGTAAAAAACGAAAACGAAAACGAAATTCCCTCGAAAGTTCATCCATATGCACAATGAATGCGTCATCTAAATAATTTCTATTGTAAAATGTTATTGATGGATGACGTGTGCAAAATGCCCCGGAACACGCAGACGACATCTCTCGCAATCGGCTCTACGACCCATCGTGTAGACGACTGTACCAGGTATGTGCGTTTGTCGGTGATGAAGACGCTGTGCTCGCGTGGGTGGAGAATGTGACGACGGTGGTGGTGGTGATGGCGTTAACCTTGGTGATGGAATCTAAAATAATAATCACAAGTTTATAATGTAAAAATCATCCCACTGTATAACTTTCGGCGAGGTAAGGAATCTTACCATGTCACGGTCGAAATTTTCAAATTCAAATTGCGTAATGTCGCAGTCCATCGGGTCTGAATACCTTGAATCCTGGACGACCAATAGTTGAGTCTTGCAACTCAGTTCATTGATAGAATTTGACCGGTTAAGACGAATCTCGTTGCAAGGAAATGCCTGACACGAAGTTGAAGGGCAACGTTGTCGTGGTGGACTAAGTAATCTGGCGGTTTTCTAAATAAACAAAAAAAAAAATGTTTATTAGTAAGGTAAAGTATGCTTGAAACAAAGTTCAAAGATAATACCCACCAAAAAAATTATTAGTGATTTCTTTTATCACTCAACTTCGAAATAATAATATATACCTGGGCTTGGTCACTTTTGTTCACGCTATTACTACGAGCTCTTTTTCGTCCGGTATTATTATTATTCGCTTGGGCAACAATATGACTTCCAAAGTGACCGACCGAATGATTTACGTTAGAAAGGTGTATAGAATAATCCATGTCTATTATTGAAAGCAATTTTTCCAAACAAAGGTCGAAAATTTTTTCAGCTTAAATAGTGTACATAACGTGCACAAATCCATCGTCCGTCTGTTTCCATTTAGTGTCCATCACGTCCTCAACCCTGGTTACACCTCGGAACACCGTAGATTTATTCTGGAATGTAGTACCAGATACATAAAAAATTTTTAAATACGTGTACACTCAAGGTTACGGTTTTCTCGATGTAGATACGTATATATACCATATAAGATCAGTAATTTCATTCCTTGACGTCAAAACCATTGAACGTACCTTCTTAAAATGGCGAACCCTCAAAGGAGCAAGTGTTTGAGGGATCAACAGATCGGTATGTTTTGACTTTCATCTTACTACCTGACTAATCTTGTTCAAGTTAATTCATTTTTATTCACCTAATAAATTTCAATAGACGAAATTGTCACGATGCTTAACCTCAATACCAAGCCCGACCCCTTAATCCAAACAACCTTAGATGGTCTCGTGGTGCCTGCCGTGAATCCCGATCCAGTCTGGAAGGTGCTAATATTCGACGAATTTGGCAGAGACATCATTTCCTCTGTCCTCAAAGTTGCTGATCTACGGGAGAACGGCGTGACCGTACATATGTATGCAAGTCGTATATTACCTTCGAGATGTTTATTGAGTACAATTCCTTCAACTTCAACTGTTTCGAACTAATTCAGGTTGTTAAAGAGTGAGAGACAGCCCATTTCAGACGTCCCGGCAATTTATTTTGTGGAACCGACATCCGAAAACATTCAGAGAATTAGCGAGGTAAACTTGATCAGTAATGGCTTTCAAACTGATTGACCCGACGTAGAGACAGTTAACGAATCATTCCATTCTCATAGGATCTGGCCAAAAACCTTTATGAATCATATTACATTAATTTCTTGACATCCATCCCAAGACCTTTGCTAGAGGAACTTGCCGCCTCCACCATACCGAATAACACTTCAAACATGATTGCACAAGTCTATGATCAATATTTGAACTTTATTGTTTCCGAGCCGAACCTATTTTCACTGAATCAACCAAATATGTATTGCTCCTTGAATGACCCTACCGCCGCAGAAACTGCCATTGAACAAGCCATCGATAAAACTGTCGGTTCCTTGTTTTCAGTGTTGGTAACGATGGGCGTAATACCGATTATTCGATGCCCCAGAAGAAATGCGGCCGAGATGATTGCGCAAAAACTGGATAGCCGTTTACGCGATCATGCATTGAATTCTCGGAACAACCTTTTCTCTGACGCCTCCGCGTCTTTAAATTTTCAGAGGCCAGTCCTATTGATTCTGGATAGAAATGTTGATCTAATACCGATGCTGGGTCATTCCTGGACTTATCAAGCTTTGATACATGATGTTTTGGATATGCACTTGAATAGGATTTCAATCGAAGCTGAAGAGATGGGACGCAAGGTCAAGAAGAGTTATGATCTGGATAGTAAAGATCTTTTTTGGGCCAAAAATGCCGCAAGTCCATTTCCACAGGTAGCCGAAGATATCGATGTGGAACTCAATCGGTACAAGTTGGATGCCGCTGAAATCACGAAACTTAGTGGTGTCAATTCACTTGACGATGTCAACCAATCAGACTTTTCTCAAAACACCCAACACTTGAAATCTGCTATCACCGCATTACCGGAACTCACGGCACGTAAACAAACGCTTGACATGCACATGAATATAGCCACATCCCTACTGCAAGGGATTAAGGAACGTCAGTTGGATACTTTTTTTCAGATGGAAGAATCTATAACCCGACAAGGTCGATCAACTGTTTTGGATGCGATCAGAGACCCAGAGAAAAAGTCCCCCGAAGACAAACTCCGCTTTTTCATTATCTATTATCTTTCGGTTGACGAAGTCACAAAGGAGGACATGGCGGAATACGAGGATGCTTTACGCTCTGCTGGATGTGATCTGTCTGCGTTGAATTACGTAAAAAAGTCTGCAATCATGTGCATTTTTGTTACTTGATTTATTCGTGCGTTAACGACATAACAATTCATTAAAATGTTATTCAGAGTGCGTGAAATCACCAGAATGACCATGATGTCTACGCCCGTATCTCAGAGTTCTGGATTCGGTCAGTCCAGTCAACTCTTCCAAGGGTTTAGTTCTATTGGAAATAAGGCATCTATATTTATTTATAATTATCCAAATCATTAAAAGTATACATTATATGTATTCAAATCTGATGATTTCACATTGACTCATCTAGCTGACGGATCGACTAAAAGAGGGAGGCCTTGGTGGTGGATTTGAAAATTTAATATCTGGTGTAAAAAATTTACTTCCCACACGTAAAGATCTTACAATTACAAAAATTGTTGAATCGATCATGGAGCCAGCTACTAGTGGCACGAGTGAGACTGACGATTATCTTTACTTCGATCCAAAGATGGCTCGAAATTCAAATGTCAATAAACAATCTAGAAATAGGATCAGTTTTCAGGAAGGAATTGTGTTTATGGTTGGTGGCGGAAATTACATTGAATATCAAAATTTGCAAGAATTTGCGCAGGTAACGAAGTGAATGTTGCAGAAACGTATATATTTATTCGAAAAGATGAATTGATTTTTTTCTCCTTTCTAGCGTCAACCGGAAAAAAAGAAAATTACCTATGGATCTACCCAAATACTGAATCCTCATGCTTTTCTGCAAGAACTGGTAAAACTTGGATGAAAGAGAATAATTCCTAATTGATCTTGTAGCTTACCACGCTTAAGGTCAAAATTAATGATCTTCAATGAGGACATGTTGCGTAATATACGAAATATTTAATTAATTTTCTCAATTATGATGAGGAAGTAGTCGTTGCCGAAACGATTGACAATTTTGAAAGCGAAAAAAATTTAATACTAATTATTTTGATTAAAATTTAATTGTGTATTTTTCATAAATAGAATGAATTATACCCTAGATAATTAGCTATTATTCATCGAATAAGGTTAATAACTAGTTAGGGCCATGGCTTTTTAAATATGAAAACTCAATTAGAATCGCGGTTTTTCTTATTATAAAATCGTGAGTTTTCTGATCAAGTATATTAGATAATGTATATTTTGTTTAAATTAATATCTATAGTGAAATAAAAAAATTTTTTCTTTTATTAATATAATAAAAAGAGAAATGTTTAAATTTTATATACTGTGATCAAATTTACAGTATATTTGACCAGTATGTTCAAGAGAATTGCTTTTAAAAGGATAATTCTCAAAAAAATAATTTAAGAAGTGATTTATAATAATAAAGTAATATCAAAGAATAGATTTATCAATGATCTTTTAAATAGTGTTCCATGATATTTTACAAGAAATATGGTTTACTAAAAAAAAAAAAAACTCTTTCCGCAAATCCCTCAGATCCTTAGAAATTTCCTTTTTAGGCAATACACCCAAGGAAAG